ATAACCAGGAGCAGTGTCAGCTTTACTGTTACTTTTGTTTGTTTTTTGCATTTCCTTGCTTCAGGGTAATGGAATACGGCAGGTCCTTGAATTCAGATCCTGCCTCTTATTTCCAGCTAATCTTGTGCAAGTTAACGTATCAGAACTTCATCTGTGGAATGGGGAGAACAGTACAATAAGGTTTTAGCAAGTATTTGCTATTAACATCAGTAATGTTTTCTTTAGGACACATTGTTTTCCAGTGGCCTAGTCGGGTTGTGAACTTGCCCTTCCTGGGGCTTTAACATTATGGCTTCGAGGTCTTAACTGCTTAGTATGACTGAGTGTCTTGGAAGTTGGAAAATCTGCTTTCTGTGAACAGATATAGGTGACACTGGTTAGAATACCACCACTTTAGAGAGTGGATGGATACTAATATCTCTTTGGAGCCGTGGAGACGATGTTCTGGGGACAGAGGTGAGTACAAGTGTGACAGCAGCTGACTCCTTGTTACCCTGCCTGCAGCTAGATACACTGTCCGATCCTTCGGCATCAGGAGAAATGAGAAGATTGCTGTCCACTGCACAGTCCGGGGGGCCAAGGCAGAAGAAATCCTGGAGAAAGGTCTAAAGGTGGGGCTTCGTTCACGATGTGATGCTAAACGCATCAGCATAACACATGTGGATAATTACAGTGGCAGTAGTTACCTCTGATGTACTGTCTTTGTTCTGCTTATTTTGAACTAATGGCTGTTAACTTGTCCTTTGAAAGTTAGTAAAGTTCTCTGAAATCCATAATTGAGATGTGATTTGGTGTAGTGGGGAAGTCAGATTTTGTTACTGGCCAGATTACACAGAATTCTGTTCCTGGGCTTATGAGTGTTGCAGGTTGAGCTAGTTAATGGGGGTTGGGTTGACAGGGAGTGATTGCTGTATTTTTCTCCTCAGGTGCGAGAGTACGAGTTAAGGAAAAATAACTTCTCAGATACTGGAAACTTCGGTTTTGGGATCCAAGAACACATTGATCTGGGGATCAAATATGACCCAAGCATTGGTATCTACGGCCTGGACTTCTACGTGGTATGAATACTTAATCTTTTCCACTTCTGGCTTATGAGAGTGGAATCTGTTACTCCTTTATTTCATATGTGCTGTCTTGATGTTCACATGTTGGATTGAGGCTTTGAGTGTTGTCTGTCTCTCCCTCGGGAAGATACACCTTGTTTGTGGCAGGTGTGGGGATATAGCATCTTGAACCAAATGGGTAAGATCCCTGCTGCTGTGGAGCTTACGGCCTAGGATCTAGCACACACCAGTGTGGCTTAGCGGTGGATGAAGGAAGCACTCCATCGAGCCACTGTAGTGAAAATTTGAGAGATGGTGCTGGGGTTGCGTTTGGCGTGTGGGTTGGCTGCACTGAGGCTGTTCTTTCCCTGCTCCTTCGCTTATACCCTGGGGATGGGGTGGCTTCCGTCCAGAGGACACAGGAGTAACTTTGGTGATGTGATTCTTTGCTCAGTCAGGATGGGGATTTTAATTTAGAAATGACCGTGTGTGTCACTCACGTTTAGGTAGATCCTGACTAGTGTGACCTTGAGCAATGGCAGCACCCTCACAATTAGATTTGATTATGCAAACAGTAGTGAGAGTTGGGTGTGCATGGGGGACAAGAAACTTACGAAGCACTTAGAGCTGAAGCAGAGGAAAGAAATACAGCTCGTTGTGCTTCTTGGAATTTTAAGATTTTCACAATGCACATGTCAAGTAAGGTTTACTGAAATGTTATTTTTAAAAATAAAAGTGCTTTGGAGTTTGGGGGCAGTGGAGAATCCTTAACTACCACTGGAGGTTAGGTAGGGGAAGGGCTACAAGTTCTAGCCTCCAGAGCAAACCTAGAGTAAGGCGGTGTGTTGTCCAGGGTGCTGGTCACGGTTCCATGAGACATTGAGATCATGCCATGGGCCTCTTGCTCCAGAATTCACTGGGCGAACAGGTGACTCTTGAAGACTGATCTCTCCACTGTGTGAGTCTTGTCCGTCTGCTCTTGACTCTGAGCTGGCTAGGTGACTGTTGGTTATTCCTGGGACAGGTGCTGGGTAGGCCAGGTTTCAGCATTGCAGACAAGAAGCGCAAGACAGGCTGCATTGGGGCCAAACACAGAATCAGCAAAGAGGAGGCCATGCGCTGGTTCCAGCAGAAGGTAAAGCTTGATTTATCTCAGGTGATGTGGTGGAATGTGGTGTTGGTGAGTAGAGCTGGGATACGGGGATGCAAGAGCGAGCACCCTTTGGTGGGTAGCTTTCTTAAAGATAGAACACTTGGGCAACTTGGCCAGTGGGGGCTTCGCGGGTGTTGGCTTAAAGAACACTCAGGCTTTTTGCCCAGCCCCATGAATGCAGGTAGCTGGAAGGGGGAGGGATGTGGCTTTAATAGGAGCCACTTTTTCTCAGGGTGCAGTAAAATTGAGCCTAGGGTAGCAGTTAAAACTGGCCAGCTTCCTGTTAAGGGATATGGGAGTATCTGATTTGAATTCTCTTAACGTTAGCCATTGCTACAATCTTCACTGTTACCTCCTGTTCTGAAAAAATTAAATCTCTTCTCTTTCAGTATGATGGGATCATCCTTCCTGGCAAATAAATTCCCGTTTCTATCCAAAAAGCCAATAAAAGGTTGTCAGTGAAATGTACAATTACTGTTGTGTGTTCTGTGAAAGGAGCCTGGCCATATTCAAGTCCTTGGACCTCAAGCCACTTAAAGCTTCGATGGGAATAGCTGGTAACAACCCTGTCATCCATCCCTGATAGGATGTCAGTGTTTCCTGGCAGATCCAAGCCTGAGCTTCACAGCATTGCCCGTGTTCACCACACCCTTGTTGACAGGCTGGTGTGGTGGTCCTGTGGAAACATACAGAGGGGGGGTGTGGTTGGGGCTGGGGTTTGAAATCAGAGCCTTAATTAAAGGTAGGGCACAGTGCTCCCCTGTTCCAGGAGCCTCCCCTCTACTGTTCTTCACTAGAGGTTTTATCAGCATTGTCTGGTGAAGGAATCAGAGGCTTTGGTGTCGTGTTGGGGTTAAATTTTGGACTCGGTTTTCCTTTAAAGTGAGAATCTATGGGGTTGTTAGGCAGTATAAGTAGAGAAGGGGGTGGTCTTTGAGACACATTGCCTGGGTTTGATCCCCGCCCTGCCTTGTATTAGCTGTGTTACCTAAATCTACAATAATAGTGATATTTCTCAGGATTAAATGGTTTGATACTTGTACACTGCTTAAACGTGGACAAGGCACAGAGTGCTCAAAAAGAGTTAATTTTGTGTTTCTGTATGTGAGAAATGTTACTCTTACCTGTTTGTTCCCCCTTTGGTATGAAAATGGGACTTGCCTGTGCTTTTCCAGGTCACTGAGGCAGTGGCATACGAAAGCCACCATTTCTCTGTTAGACACACTACTTGGCCAGTGGTTCATAGTTTTCAGTCTCGGTTTTACATTTTGAACACAAGTTAATTCAATAATTTACTCACGGGTGACTGAGTTCATTTCTCCCTAGGCCACCTTTTCCTTGCCGTTAAATCGTTCTCTAATTTCTTAGCTGCTTATGTAGATATTTTGAAGCCTGGAGAATATTTGGTATGCCTAACTTTATGAAATGTGGCTTATATTGTCTTCCTGATAATAAAGTCTTATCCATGAGATACAGTTGGTTAAAGGGGAGAATCATGAAATGTGTTAACATAAACTTTTTGTTTCACTTACAATGTCAATGTGCACTCACTTCTCAGTCTTTTTCTGTAGGGGCACCACTTTGTAAATGGTATTGAAAACTTGTGAAGGAGTCCGATTTCTTGTGATTCAGCTTCATTTTTATAGGGGGGGACCTCACTGTTTCAACTTCTGTAATTACACTAACAACTACAACTGGAATAAACATCTTTGAGAACAAACTAACTCTTGGTCAATATATAGCTAACCTAGTGCTGGGTGCTAGCTGCTGTGGGAAGTCAGTGTATTTTCCAGAGGAGATGGAGTGTGTGCTAGCTTTATCTAAATAAAGCATTTCAGGAAGATGTAGAAAGTGAGAGTCCCGCTAATGGTGTCGCCATCCTTGTGCACGTTACTCTTAGACAAATGTTTGCTGTGTTGCTGTGTTTTTATGTTTGTAGTACTGTATGATTTAACTATATAAAGCTCCCTGCCCTTTATTTGGTCCTGCTGTCTTGTGTACTCAGTTGAGTTCACTTCCCATTTAAAAAATTTAAACTGCCTGGGCTCCTGGCCCAGTGGGGAAAAGCCCCTGGGGAGTTTGGAGATCAGCTGGATTTTGCTCCTAGTTCTAGCAGTGATATTTTAGGTGAGTCATGAAACATCTTGGGGACACTTCCCTAACTAGTTGAGAGCAGCAGTGCCAGGAAAGCTTAACTCCTGTATGATTAGAAGCCCGACTTCTAGACAGATGTCATACCAGGTCTGAAGCATTCATGTTGGGTTGAGCTTGCTAGTAAGTGGGTAGGACCACCTGGGGGTTGTCAAAGCTCTTGGGCTCCACCTCGGACCTACTGAGTTAGAATTCGTCTGCTTTTAACAAGATCTACAGGTGATACGTATGAACACTATAAAGAGTAGAAGCCCTGACCACATCCTAAAGCCAAATCAAGGGAGGGCGGGAAAGCATAACATCCAGGGAGATTTCTTTAATAAATTTAGTCTTATGAAGTTCCTGCTGTGTGGTTATTTTTCTCATTTCTTCAGCTGCTACCCATGAAAACTCAGGGTGATCTTAGGTGCCCCTCTGCCCCCATGTTGCATTGTGATTGTCTTCAGAATAAGGTGGTGTACATGGCGAGCATCTGTCTATATCCCAATTCCAGGCCCAGAAGTAGTGGATGCTATTTTGCTGAGAATGAATCTTCTAGTCCTGCAGCTGCCCTTTAGGGCAGAGTTCTCAAGCTGAGGCAGTAGCACTCATCCCCCATCCTGGGGTATTTGAAAGTTTGTGGGATTGGGCCTTTATCACAGGAACTAGGGCTGCTGTTGGCAGTAGTAATGCCTGGAGGTCAGGGATGTGAAACAGCCATTCTGGATGATCACACAAATGTGTAAAGTGCTAGAGTTAAGTACAGGGTGGTTACTGGTGACTTAGTGCCACTCACCTTTCCAAAGCTAACAGGTCTCAGTCTGTTTGGTTTAGAAACAGCAGGGTGACCACAGAACCCAGAGCATGGGTAGGGAAGAGTAGTAGATCAGGTCAAGCCAGTGAGGGGCCAGAGCCTGCTGTTAGAGCCTCCAGCCCTGGCAGCAGGACAGACCTTAGAAAAGGGAACAGGGGCACAAAAGAGGAGACCCTGTAGGTTATTCCAGGGGGCTGGCGTTTGTATCCACATAGTATGGCTAAAGGGGAGCGATCAAAATCCAGACGAGTAGTCTCGGGAAGTTGCATGTGTATGTGCCCATGTTACTGTTTTGAGCTTTTTGAGCTTTTAGGTAGAAAATGTGCCAAATAACTAGTCAAATTAAATGTGAGAATTAGAGCTAAGGACAGTAGGTTTTCTCTATTGGAATTGCTAATTTACAAATAAAGCTAATGTTACTTTCTGGCCTTTTTAAAAACAAGTTGAGGAAACCAGAATTATGATTTGTACTTTTTTCGCCCCTCTTAAGGCTTCTCACGTAGTAATGGTTTTATATGCCATCCATTGGGTGTGTAGGATATATTGCCTTACCTCTGCAGCCACCACCAGATACCAGCAATGTCAGTTCCGTAGAACTGCCCCAGTATAAGCTTTTTTGTCCTGTTTTCTTGGCCCTCTGTGCAGTGAGTATACGTAAGATCCTTGTTGCCTTGAAGCTGTTAGACGGTGTGGTATGATTGAAAGAACACTAAGCTGGAAGCAGGTCATCCAAGTCCCAGTAGTTTTTGCTAGTGTTGCAAATTGCAGCTCCTCTGGCCCTCTGCAGCAGAGCTGATTGGATTTTGTACTTTTGCCTGTTCCTGCAGCTGAAACATACTGCCAGTCCCAACCTGTTAAACTCCGTGATGAATAGGCTGCCAGAGGGGCCTGGGTCCTAAAGGGTTAAGGCCCAGGCCTTCTAGGTGAATGGCTAGGTCAGGGCCCAGAAGCCGCCCACAGATAGTTTAAGCTGCCCGCCACCGGGGACCTAGCTGGTGCCTGGGGGTACAGAACCGCTTTCGGAGCAGCTTGTTATGGAAACCACCCTTGTGGTTGTCAGGGGAGAATCTAGCCTAAAGCACCTGGGGGCACCAGGAGGACTGAACTTGACTCCCTTTAAGGTGCAGGAAAGCTTAGGAAACAAATGTAGATGGTTTGTATTTTCACAAATCTGAACAAATGATACATGATTGTACCAGTTAAAGACCTTACATAACATGATTTTAAGATGTTATGTAGTTATATTTATCACTATTGATTTCATTTGTTATGTGATAAATATGTCAGTAGTTACCTGGAGTCTGAAAGTAGCTTGAAAGGCAAAAACATTCATCAATTTATGCACTAATGATGTTCTAGGCTCCCTCAGTTACCCTGCTGAATGTATTGCTTTGATAACATGACTTCTAACCCTCTCAATATCATAGTGACTGCCTCTGAAAGCATTTTCCTATATATATATATATTTTTATACTTTTTGCTTTTAAAGATTGGCTCTGCTTAAACATTACATAGTATATATCACAGTGGGTAAGAGCACAGCATTTGGAATTTAAGCCTCACAAATCCCTTGTAGGTCCCTGGCAGATAGTGTAGGCTTGTTTTCTGTGAAGAGTCCCACCAGCGGCCAACTCACTCCTCTTCCAACTCTAATTTTAGGAAATAGCTGTGCAACTGTTACTCCCAGGCAGTGGTCCAGACAGCTCCGGGGGAGGCACATGCTTTCCTGGATGCTGGTTGGGGTTCTTTGCTGGCACATACTATCTCATGTAGTTTTCATCACTCTATGAGGTGTTAAAATGATGAGGACACAGAAAGAGACACAGAGAAGGAAATTAATTGCCCAAAGTCACAAGTCTTCAAACCAAGGCAGTAAGACTCCGGAACCTCCAGACCAGCTGTCTTTTTGTAGTTTTATAGCTTTTAAGCAATGAGGTTAAACCACACATCTGCCCCTTGAAATAAGCTTCTATCAAATTTTCCCTGAAAATAGGTTGACCGGCCCACAAAATGCTGTTTCTCATTCTGGCCTATGTTCTGAGAGTGCCCAAGGAGGACTGGCAGTCATAGAAATGGAGTTAGTTTTTACTTTTCAACGACTTTATCTATAGGGATAAACACCCCAGTAAGCGCTGAATGAAAAGAGGAAATTTCTTCAGGATGGGAGATGTGTGCATTTTGTAACTGATGTTCTGTAACCTCAGGCACAAGGCAGTGGTGCGCTCCCAGCATCTGACCCCCTTGTTGCTCAGAGTAGGCACAGCCAGCAACACTGCCCCTTTCTACCTGGGTGAGACCTTAGGCAAGTCAGCCAGCCTCGCAGGGCCACAGAGCGTATGTAAAATAGGCCAACACCTACCTTTCAGGGTTTTCAAAAATTAAAGGTAGTATATGTAAATCACATAGTAGGAGCTGTTACTAGTTTGTATATATTACATATTTATTGAAATACATATTCTTTATGGTCTGTGGTAGGCTTAGGTGTAAGAAGTTTTATTCAGTGACTTGAGTGCTACTCTTTCCTGAGAAAGGAAAGAAGATGAGGATGGGGGTTACTCAATGTAAAGGTATTGAGTAAGTAAGCTCAGATACAGGTGGTTGCTTCCTGGGCTTTTCTTGTTTCAAGAAGTCCCTAAAATCTATGAAGAACTGGGCTTTGGGAGTGACAGCAGCCTGGAGAGAGACCAGGTACAGCTTCCTGTTCTTCCAGATCAGCATTTTTCTCTCTTGTCATTCACTCAACAAATACTCGAGTGCTTACCTACCTGAAGCATGGCATTGACCCAAACAGATACAGTCCGTGCTGCTAAGTGGACAAAAAGTACATGTTCCTCCTCCTGCCACTTTTCAGGTGGAAAAAAAATCCTGTGAACTCTTGAAATAACAATAAATAAGTAATAGCGTTCCTCCCCAATATAACAGTACAGGGATATTAACTATGCTTTTTCAAATCTTCCCTTACCCACCAGAAAAATGGAGGGTTGGGATTTGCATTCCAGCCCCTTCATCCTCCTCCCCTAGTATTGAAAAGCACTGGTTGAATTGGTCCTGGGGGCAGGTTTGAGTTCACAGAGCTCAGTAGTCTATAAAGTGTGGTCTAGGACCCCTTCCCTTCATGTCACCTGTTAAAAAATGCAGATTCCTGAACTTCACTCAGAGACTTGAAATTTATGGGGCTTAGAAATCATATTCTTACAACACCGAAGATTGAGATTCATTGTTCTCTTAACAGTAGCTTTCACAATTTTTTGACCACAGCCCCCCCCAACACACAAAGTATTTTGTATCTCCACTTATTACATCCATATACTTACCTCTGAAAAATATTTCATGAAATGTAACCTTTACCACAGTCAATACATCTCATTTTATAGTCTGTTCTATTAAGTTTTTTCCCTTATGCTGGTTGAAATGTGTTAAATCTGCAGTTAAAAAACCCTGCTCTCCAGTGCACTGTAGTCAGTTACGTTTTATCACGATGTCAGAACTTGTGAGCTAGAAGAGCCCATGGAGGTTATCTGATCCAGCAGTCGCTAAGTCCTAATTTTTGCCCGGTACCGGACTGGTTACAGGAGAATTACTTGAGACATTTAAAATACAGATTCCAGGCACCAATCTCAGAGAGTTTAGAGTGGAATATAGGGGTCTCTTTTTTAACAGCCTTCCTAGATGATTTGTATACACAGCCAGGTTTGAAAATTCTAAGATGCGTCCCTTATGCTGTGAAGGCCCTCAGGAACGGGAGAGGATCTGAATTTGTCTCTGTGTGTAGAGGTCAGGGTTTCTCCACTTGTGTGTCACCTGCAGATTCTTTCTCTTTTTTTTTTTTAATTGTAGTATTATTGGTTATAATGTTTTGATTTCTGATGTATAGCATAGTAATTCAATTATACATATGTTCTTCATATTCTTTTTCATTATAGGCTATTACAAGATATTGAATATTGTTCCCTGTGCTATACAGTAGGTCCTTGTTGTTTATCTATTTTTTATATAGTAGTTAGTATCTGCAAATCCCAAACTCCCAATTTATCCCTCCACCCCAGATTATTTCTGAAATACTATTATTTACCAGATATTTTCTTTGTCATAAAACAACCCGTTACTCCTGAACTTACATACTTAATGTGTTTACTATATTACTTTATATACTTTTAGTATATTATACTCAAGTATAATATACTAAAATAAATATGTAACTGTCTAAAAAATGTGTCCTGCACAAGGCATTTATTCAGTAACTTTTTTGAGTTACTGAATAAATATACTATAAATATAAATATAAATAATCTATATCCCCAGCACTTTTTAATGTTCTTGGGATATATAATGAACAAAAACAAAGATCTTCATGGAGCTTAAATTCTAGTGGAGGGAGATGGACGATAAATAATACACAAGTGAATGATAAAGTATGTTATAAAATGATGTGTGCTGTGGAGGGAAAAAGCAGGGGAAGAGGACAGGGAAGGCTAGTCAAGGTAGGTCTTACTGAGAAAAGTGAGATTTGAGAAGACTTGAAAGTGGTAAGGGTTGGCTAGGTGGATCTGTGAGGAAGAGCTTTCCAGAGAGGGAGCAGCTAGACCAAAGGCCCTCAAACAGAGGGGCGTGTGGCACTGAGGCCAGCAGAGCCAGCAGAGTGAGAGAGGAGGAGTAGGAGGGATGAGGTCAGAGAAGGGAGGGCTTGGGGAAGCTGCTTGTGTAGGGCTTCGCAGGCCGTTGTGAAGACTTCGGCCTTCACTGTGAGTGGAACGAGTCCCTGCAGAGTCATGAGCAGAGGTACCACATGATCTGACTTCCATTTTAAAACTGACCTTGCTGTGTTGAGACTGGAATGTGGGGGCGTGGGTAGAAGCAGGAAGCCCTGTTAGAAAGTATTGCAGTGATCCAAGCAGTCTTGTTGGCTCCAGCACGGTAGCAGCATTGGAGGTGGTGAGAAACGGTCAGATGATAGGTTTTGAAGGTGAACCAATAGGATTTCTTTGAATGGAAGAGGGTATGAGAGAAAGAGAAAGCAAGCATGGTTAAAATTTCTGGCCTAAGCAACAGAAAATACAGAGCTAATTAATTGCTGTTAATTTTGATAGAGAGGGCTGTAAGTGGAGCAGCTTTGACAGAAAACTAGAAATTCCATTTTCAACATGCTTAAGAAGTCTACTCCCCATCCAAGGGAGGATGTGGAATTGGCAACCTGAAGTCTGGAGTTTGGGCTGCAGGTGTGTGTGGGGGGGTCTTCAGCGTCAAGATAGCCGCATTTGAAGTCTCGAGACTGGATTAAGTCATAAGGGAGTAAGTATGATGAAAAGAGAAGACCACCCAGGGGAACCTTGGGGGAACTTCAGTAATAAGAGATCGGGGAAAAGAAGAATTGGTAAAGGAGACTAAGAAGGAGGGGCCAGTAAAGCAGGAGGAGTACAGAAGAGTTTGGTGCCCTGAAAACCAGAGAGTGTGTGAGGGGGAGGGTGTGATGAACTGAGGGGAGTGCTGCTGACAGATCAAGTAACGTGAGCACTGGGACTGACCGTTGGATTTCACCACATGGAGCTCATAGTGACCTTGACTGGAGCAGTGCTGCTAGGGTGGTAGAGGTGAGAGGCTGAGTAGAGTGGGCTTAAGAGAGAATGAGGGGGGGAAGGTATAGCTCCGTGGTAGAGTGCATGCTTAGCATGCACAAGGTCCTGGTTCAATCCCCAGTACCTCCACTAGAAAAAAGATAAATAAGCCTAATTACCTTCCCCCCCAAAAAAAGAAAAATTAAAAAAAAGAGAATGGGAGGAAAGTGACTGGAGACAGCTGGCACAGCTCTTAGGAGGAGTTTCACCACCAAGGGGAGCAAAGACAAGTGACATAACTTTTTCAGTAGAAATTAAAATTGACATGGGAGAGGGGAGATGTGTTGTAGCAGTATCTTTGAGTAAGTGAGAGGGGTGGCTCTTCGCACACGAGTGGAGGGATTAGATTTGGATAGAATTGTGGCTGGGTGTGGTGGTGAGTCAGGAGGCTGAGTACGTGGGCGTAAATGTCGGTAGGTGGTAGATGTGGGAAGGAGATCTATGGACATTATCTTCTGACTGAGCTTCCATTTCCTCAGTGAAGTCAGAGAGGTGGGATGGGGGAGAGGTGTTAGGCATTAGAGGAGTGAAGGAATCACCAGGGAGAGTCCTACACCAGACCTGGGGGAATGGAGCACCTACGGGTGAAGAAACTTCGGTTGGGAGCTAAAGGGCCATGTTCACACTGCTAGTTAATGGCAGAGCCAAGCCCAACCCAGATCACCTGGTCTCCTGGCCTGGTACTCATTAGATCCTCAGGAACTAATCTTTCCATGATAGGATCTTTACCTTTCTTGTAGTGTCCCAACTTGCAGGTCTGTCCTGGTACAGAGAACAGCTTCCTCGCATCTCTGCTCTTGCTCTCTGGTTTCTCTCTTGACTGTCTTTTGGCCCTGCTCTAAATCTTTTTCCTACAGGTCAATGATGATCAAACCCAAGAGTGCATTAGAATCTCCTGTAAGACTTTTAAAAACCAGCTTGCTGGGACCCTCCTCTCAAAGTGTCTGATTCGTTAGGCCTTGGGTGGGGTCCAAGGAGTTTCCAGGTGATACTGAAGCTACTGATTCAAGAACCATGCTTTGAGAACCACTGAACTAGACTATATGTGGCTGTTATTCATTCAGCAAGTTCATACTGAATACCCGCTGTGTGCCTGCTATGTGTTGGGATCTGGGGGATACAGCAATGGAAGACAGTCTCTCCCTGAGGAACTCACAATTTCGTGAGGGAGACAAATGAATTAATACGTATTAATAACGTGTTATTATAATAACAATATACTTCCTCACCTTTTTCCTACTCAGCTTTATTGAGGTTTAATTGACAAAATTATATATATTTAAAGTGTACAATGTGATGATTTGAGATATATATATATATATATACACACATTATGAAATTGTTACTACATTCAAGTTAACTAGCATGTCTGTCACCTCACATAGTTATCTTTATTTTTTTTTTGGTGAGAACACTTGAGTATACTTCTCCAATTTTATTCATTCCAATACTGTTCTTCTTATTATTTTTTTGCTGTATTTAGCTAGCACCTGTATTATTACCTAATGTTCATTTAAAATGCACTCGTTAAATTTATCTCTGTTTATATTCTACTATAAATGGAACATCAGTATCGCTAGCTGGTTAGGCTCTGTTGCCTGCTGAAGGCTCTGGGCCTGAGGCTTGCTCTGTTCAAGAATAAGCAGCAATAGTCAGAGAGGTGCCAGAGAGCACTGTAATAGCCATCTGCTCCTGAGCACTTGCCCTGTGCAGGCGCTGTGTTATTAACTCTTTAACCCTTGGAACGACCCCATTTATGCTCTTATCTGTGTAGTGCAGCCACAGAAGCTGAGGCCCAGAGAAGTCAGTTGGCTGTTAGGTGACATAGCAGGGATTGAACCCAGGCAGTCTGGCTCCACAGATAACCACCGCCGCCCTGAAACTTCCTCCTTGTAGTCAGAGATTGAAAGAGAATTGGAAAGGGGATAACTTACTCGCTTTGTGCTTCAATATTGTTTAATATTGTGTCCATGCGTGCCCACCCCACACTTTAGGATAGGGCAGGTTAGAAGACTGTGATGTGTGCCGTGCCAGAGGCTTTTCAGGCTGTTCTGTGAGTACTGTATGTGTATGTGTGTTGGTACGGTGGGGAAGGGGTTGCTGATGACAAAAAACTCACTTGATTTAAATGTCAGTGTCATGAGTGAACCAAGCAAAGAGAAGGGCTGAGGAATGTCATTTCAGTCAAGGCAATAGCGATCACTAGGTATGGCTGCAGGAAGAAGGATGTTAGTTATTTGGTGTGTCTGGAGCTGAGAGTGGTGTTGGGGGCGTGACAGGAAGGCTCTGGGGAAGCCAGTCAGCTGTAATGGGGATGGCACAAGCTCTGGATCCACAGAGACCTGGTGGAGTCCCAGTTCTGGCTCTTAATAACCTTCTGATCTTGGCAAATTTCTTAATTTCTTTGAATTCAGTTTGTTTGGTAAATAGGGATAAATATTCCCATCTGACTTGGTTATTATGATGTAGAATTGTAAGTGAAGTTATTATGACACAAATGGTCCTAGTTTTGATCAGTTACCTTTGTGTTTAGAAAGCTCATCCTGGCAGCAGGGCATCAAGACTGGGCAGAGGCAGAGGACCGGGAACACTTTGCCATACTCCTGATGTGAGACTGTGTGACCTGATTTGAGACAGTTGGAGAGGGGATGGTAAATAGGGATAGCTAAGTGGTGTCTGGTGTTTGCAGATTTTAGTCAAAATTATAGCTGTTTGCAAACAAACCTGAAAGTCTGTAGCAAATTTTATTTTGTAATTTTGCTGAGGCAGCCTAAGAGGTGTCTGTTATGAAAATCATTTGCTAGTGAGGGTGATGGAGGTGAAGTGAAAATGATATGCTCTAAGGAAAATGGTTTCAGAAACACAAACAGCGGGGGATAAAGAGTGGGGGTCAGATTCTGCAGCCTTGAATCCATGCTGTGAGGTGGCCTCTGTATAGGTGGAATACTGTGAACTGTACAGCAAAGAGGAAGAGCCATTTGTTTCATCATTTTCATCCAGAGTAAAAGTTACTCATCCCAAGGAAAAGGAGAAGTTCAGGCAAAAGCTGACAAGAGAATTTAATAGCTCTATAAAGCACTGTAGTCCTGGATTTATATGACCAGTAGGTTAAGAAGATTAAGGATCTTTTTTTCCCCAATTATACCTTATATCAATTTTGGAGGCATTTATATGGAAGTATAAATTTGGGGAATTCTCAAAAGTCTTCTATCCTTCCAGAATATCAGGTGTTCTCTGTGGAACTGATGGGCCTTGGTCTCTTAATTTTCAAGGCTAAACTTTTCTCATGTTTTCAAAGATGGCAACAACAAATGAAGTCAGCAAGTGTAGGTTCTGAATTGCAGGCCACAGAACTTGGCTTGAGTTACATTAATCTAGTGTGCTGGTCCAGTCTTTCAAAGTATATGCCACTGATTGGCGCATGTCTGGAGGGCTATGGGCCGTTTGGAGGTTTTGACATATCAAAGTAACATAAAAAGAGGGCCTCCAGGAAAAAAGTATAAAAGATGTCTGGACTGAGATCTGAGATCTTTTGTATAAGTACATCTCATTCATCCAAGCTGGAAGCATGTACTTGTTCAGACTGGTGGGTTCAGCCTAGACTGACTCCCACTGAGCCATAATAGCTGTCAGAGTCGACATAAAAGGGCTTTAAACTCAGACCTGCCTTGTGCTGCTGAATTTGAGCTTGTGCGTTAACCTCTCTGAGCTTCAGTTTTCTTATTTGCAGAAGAGGGATAATACTATTACACAGGATTATTAAAAACTAAATGACATCATACCTGTACAATATAGTAGGTCTATGACAAGCACTGGTTCCTCCTACATCCTTACAGGCAACGTCTAACTAGCCTTTGTTTAGAAGAACAGAGTAAATAACATCTATCTACTTATTCATCTAATAAATATTTATCAAAGGCTAGTGTATTTCAGGCACTGTTCAAGGTTGGGTGTACTTACTGTCATGGGCTTACATTTAATAAACATAATAGCAAGCGTTGATTAGTGGTGTGAAAGTTAACAGTGTAGAGAGTGATGGAGGATGTTAAAAAGAGTGGTTAGGGGAGACTTCTGGGGAGATTACATTTGAACAGATCTGAAATAAGGGAGGCAGCCTTGTGAATATGTAGGGGAAGAGCTAATTCTAGACAGAGGGAACCTTGACATGAGAAAGGCCTTGGCCACTTTGAGAAACAGCGAGGAGGCCAGTGCGACTGGAACACAGCTAGGGGGTGAGAGAATGGAAAGAAAAGAGGCTAGAGAGGTGCAGGGCAGACCACTTAAGGCCTCAAAGGCTGTGGTAGTAAAGAGTTTGGATTTGTTGTTTGATGGGAAGCTGTTGAGGGAGTTTGGGAAGGGCACTGAGGTGGTCTCATGTAGGTTCCTCCTCTTGTGCCCCTGATATTTCATCAACTTAAAAAAAACAAAACTTTATTTTGGAATAATTTTAGACTTAACAAAAAATAGATGTCATATATACACAAATGAGTACAAGTTAAATGGGGAAGATGGGTAGATTGCACAATATTATATCCTGGTTGTGGTACTGTTCTGTAATTTTGCAAAATACTACCTTTGGGAGAAACTGGATGAAGTGTACAACGGATGTCCATTTTTTTTGCAACTGCATGTGAATCTATAATTATCTCAGTCAAATTTTCAATTTAAAAATAGTGAAGACCTGTACTATAGCCTTCACCTGGGTTACCCTGATGTTCACATCTTGTGTAACCACAGTGCAATGATCAAAACTAAGAAGTTAATATAGATACCATACTACAGACTTTATTTGGGTTTCACTAGTTTTTCTACTAATGGAAAAACTTTCCTATTTCAGGATCCAATCCAGATCCCACATTAAATTTTTTTCTTTTTTTTTACATTTTTTAATTGAGTTATAGTCATTTTACAATGTTGTGTCAAATTCCAGTGTAGAGCACAATTTTTCAGTTATACATGAACATACATATATTCATTGTCACATTTTTTTTTCCCGCTGTGAGCTACCACAAGATCTCCACATTATATTTAATTGTTACCTATCCTTAGTCTCTTCTAGTCTGTGGCAGTTCTTAGTCTTTCCTTGTCTTTTATGACATTGATTTTTATTTTTGGAGGGGGAGGTAATTAGATTTGTTTATTTATTTATTTTCAAGGTAGGTACTGGAGATTGAACCTAGGACCTCATGCATGCTAGGCAAGTGCTCTACCACTTGAGCTATACCCTCCCCCTTGACATTGATACTTTTGAAGAATGTCCCTCACTTTGGGTTTATCTGCTGCTTTCTCATGGTTAGATTGAAGTTAGTGCATTTTGGGGAGGAATACCACAGAGGTGATATGCCCTTCTCAGTGCATTGCTATCAGGAGGTATGTGATGTTGATCTATTACTAAAGAGGTAGAGAGAGAAAGGATCTGACCTAAGTAACCTTGGAAAATAGTGTTTGATTGGAAACTGTAAGGTTAAAGACAAAAAGAACTGTACACAAACACTGTATTCTAGTTGGTAAATTTGTTTATCACACTGGGGAGAGGGAGAGAGCAGGAGGGGTGTGAATTAGCAATTCTGAAGTTATATTTATTCCAGGATTGAACAATAAGTAAATAAATTGCAGATAATGAGAACTAGGCATCTCAGTGTTGGAAAAGAAGTGACAAGAAGAATTACCAATAAGCAAAAGGGAAATGCTAGCTGGATTGGAGTTGGTATTAGTTAGAACTTGAAACAAAGATTAAATGTGTGTAGATACATGACTTAGTGTAAACACAAATATGTTCTAGCTCTTACAGCTGAGAAGGCCTGGAAAAAGTGACACCCCAGTAACACCACCTTAACTGAGCGATCAAGATTAACATCACCAATAGTAAGACATATTGTCATCGTGATGTATGTTTTTAAAAGATTAGCTGTGAGGAGAGCAGGCTGTCGGAGCAAAGAATGGGTGTGGAGGCCCTCACAGTGAGAGTGGCCTGGACTAGGTTGGTGGTGATGAAGACGTGGTGAGCAGGGTGGGATTCTGGATGTTTGAAGATTGGATTGGCAGGATGTGTTGATGGATTAGATTGGATAAGGGGCCTGAGAGAGAATGGCATCAAGATTGCCACTGAGGTTCTTGGCCTGAAGAGCTGGGTCAGTGGTCTTGCTAGTTCCCAGTGGGGAAATACTGCAGATGGAACAGGTTCAGAGAGAGAAAATCAAGAGTTTGGCTTTAGACACATTACACTTGAGATGTCTTTTAGTCATCTAAATGGAGACGTCAGATAAGCAGTTGGACAAGTGGGGGAAATAGATGTAAACTTGGGAGTTACCAGAATACATTCCTGAATGCATCAGTTTATACATTATGTGTGGCAAAGTGCTTCTCAAACTGTAGCGGGTTTACAGATCTCCTAGAGAGCTTATTAGAACATGGCTTCTTCCTGGACCTCCCAGGGATGCTGATTTAGTAGGTCTGCAGTGCAGTTGAGAATTTGCATATCTAACAATTTCACAGGTGATGCTGATGCTGCTGGTCTCCCAAGCGTACTTTGAGTAGAACCTGATGCTGGCCTTTCCCACTGTGTATTCAGTTTTTCCTTCCTCTCTCCCAGAGAGGGCAAAATATCATACTCTGCAGGACAAGTATCTAAAAGTCATATGCCTCAAGTAATTACTATGTCTTTTTAAAAACAGATAACCTGAGTCTCATTTACTTTATCTTGCCTAAAATCACAGCATGAGTGAATGGCCGGGTCAGAATCTGAACCCAGATCTGAATGTGCTGCCTTATACCTTACTGCCAAATGCAGGCTGTGTAACCTTAGACCAGTCGTTCAGCTCTCCATCAGTTTCCTGCCCGGCTCAAAAAGGATAACATAGTGAAAGTGCCAAGCAAACTCCACCACTGTCTGTCCTTGCGAGGCCTTCCTTGTCATTTCAGATGTGGTCAGTGTTTGTCAATGTGCCTAACGTTTCTGATCTGGGAAGAGTAAGGACTCTCTCAGCTCTAATTGTGGACTGAACCCCTGTGGAGAGAATGTGTGGTGTATAATGAATTCCTCTGTGTTCTAGAATATGTTCCTCTGGTCTTTGTTTTAGAAATTGCCCCCATGGTGATCAAAACCATAAAAGCTTTCCAAAACAGATTATCATGCCTATCAGCTGAGCACACATGCTGTGTGTGGGGACAGTTAGAGGAGGAGAAAACGAGGAACTAACACTTTATTGACAGCATCTCCTTGGTTCCAGGCCCTTTACATTTGAGATAATCTTTATAGTTGCTCTATGAATTATATGATATTCCCATTTTACAGACAAGGAGAGAGAGGCTCAGAGTCACCACCAATAAGTGGTGGAGCTTGAATTCTAACCGTGTTCCTTTTGACGCAAAGTTGTGCCCACAGTGTGCTCCTGTTACCTCAGGAGGAAGAGTAAGTGTAGACACTTGGACACAGTGGTATATGCTTCCACCCGATAGCTTCAGGTGTAGGACCACAGGCAGGGCGAGCCCCATAGAAAGGTTATGAAAACTTAAAAGAAAACTGGAGAAAACAAGACAAACTTGTGGGCACCCTCCTTGGGACTTCTGAGGGTGAAAACCCTGGTCAGGAACTGCTGCCACTTTTCCTCTGTCTACAACTGCTACAGGCCTCCACCCTTCACCCAAGTCAGCCACATTCTCACACTCATTCATTCAGCAGCAATGAAGCATCAGCTTGTGCTGGTCCCAGAAGTAAGATAGACATGGTTCGTATCCTCACGGTACTAAAGGCTGCAGTGCAGGAAAGGGGCAGGGAGACTAGAAGAATGGACAAAAAGCAATGTGTATTAAACATACAGTTACCCCTTGATCCAGCAGCTCCACTTCCAGGCATATACACACAGAAGACTGGAAAGCAGGGGAATTGATATTTATACACCATTGTTCATAGCAGCGTTGTTCACAATAGCTGAAAGGTGGAAGCAACCCAAATGCCCATCAGTGGATGAATGGGTAAACAAAATGTGGTACATCCATACAATGGAATATTATTCAGCCTTAAAAGAGGGTGTAATTCTGACACATGCAACAATATGGAGGAACCTTGAGGATTTTATGCTTAGTGAAATAAGCCAGACACAATAGGACAAATATTGTATGATTCCACTTACATGAGGTAGTAAGAGTAGTCAAATCCACAGAGAGAGCAAAAACAGCAGTTACCAGAGGCTGGGGGGAGGGGAGAATGGAGAGTTGTTCTTTAATGAGTGTTAAATATAAGAGTTTCAGTTAGAGAAGATGGAAAAGTTCTGGAGAGGGACAGTAGTGCTGGTCACATGACGACTGTCCTTAATGCCACTGAACCATTATGCTTAAAAAATGTTACAGGGCAAATTTTATGTTATGTATATTTTACCACAATAAAAAAGGAATTTGTCTTGAAGAAAATGAAATGAGAAATTATGAAAACAGATTCCTCTTATATTTAACCAAGATAAGGTAATACAAATAGTCCTATGATGGTCATCAAGTTAAGTGCTAGAGAGAGTGCTCCCTGGAGTTGGGAGAGAGGATAACAGGTGAGCCTGCTCCGGTCAGTGGGCTGAGGGAACTGGGCAGGGCCTCCTCAAGAGAACGGCATCTAAGCCAAGGTCTGAAAGGGTGAGCTCGGTGAAAGTAGGGTGGGTATGTGTGGAGGGCAGAACATCGCCAATAGAAGGAACAGCTGGGGAAGACCAGGAGCAGGAAAGGTCCTTGGTGCAGTTGAGGAAGCACAAGGTTTGTGCAGGGAGCAGAGGAGGAGGCAGAGTGGGAAGGGTAGGTTGGGCCTGCACAGGATTTTAGGCTTCTCCCTGGAGCAAATGGAAGCCACCAGAGGGTTTGAGCAAGGGATTTTTATTTTTAATTTAAAAGCCTATCGGTTTAGTTGAGATTAAGTAAAAAGGGAAGTAAAGTTTATTGAGGGCTTGCTCTGTGCCAGCTCCTTACCTACCATTCAGTTGTCTCTAAGCATAACACTTGGCACAGATGAGGTGCTCAGTAATGATCCAGGTGGTTGATTTACAGAATGAGGCTCAGGCAGGTACATTAATTTGACTCAAGACAGTACTGCCTATGGGATCCTGGCCTCTGTGCTTTAAAGGGTCCTTCCTTGGACTGCTCTAGGAGCTGTGTGCCTCTCAACATGACCTAGGAATTGTGCAGCCCAGAGCCCATACCCTCTACCAAACCAACCACAGATATGGAAAATGCACATTTCCTTCTCAAATGGCCCCATCTCTTTTCTAGAACCTCTTCCCTGGTGTGTGCAGCTCTATGCCCAAGGGGTGGCCAAGGGGCAGCTGTTTGTTGAAATGCCACTTAGGGCTCATGACGTGTGGCCCTGCAGGTGAACACGATGTCTTGTGCTTTGGGGCGGAGCTGGGGCCATTTACTAGTTTCCTGTTGCTGCTGTAAAAAATTATCACAAATGTATCCTCTTACATTTCTGGAGGCCAGGAGTCTGAAGTGGGTCTCAGCAAGCTATAGTCCACGTGCCAGCAGGGCTGTACTCCTTTCTGGAGGCTTTAGAGGAGAATCTCTTTACTTGCCTTTTCTAACTTTTAGAGGCACCCATGTTTCTAGGCTCGTGGCTCCCTCCCTCCGTCTTCAAAGCCAGCAGTCCTGTGACTCCATACTCTGCTTCTGTCATTATATCTTCTCTGACTGATTCTTCTCCTCTTTCACTTGTAGGGATCCACCAGGATAATCCAGGGTAATTTCCCCATCTGGAGGTCAGTTGATAAGCAATCTTAATTCCCCTTTGCCATGTAAGACAACATAGTCACAGGCCCCAGGGATTAGGCTGTGAACATCTCAGGAGAAGAAGGGTGTTACTCTGCCTCCCACTGGTGGGAAGAGAAGCAGCGAGGTCGGGGCTAGCTTCCCTGTGCCACTGTATTCCCAAGAACCCTGAGAATTCAAAATTCAAACCTAGCTCTCCAGGTCATTATGAAGGTATCTTTATCAAAGTAGGAGAATGGAATAGAAATGACATTTAAATGGCCCATTAGTTTAATTGATGCCTTTTAGATAGTTAGACATATGGTAGGTACCTCCATTTGCACTCAAAGTCACATCACAAGCAAATGTCTAATTTAGGATACAAATTAGAACACAATTCCTGTTATTTCCACCACATACACGACCTCTTCAAAGAGAAGGCAAGAGGCTGCTACCACTTTCACTACTACCACTATGTAGATATCTGTTTGCCTTCTTGGTGGTTGCAAAGCTGTCTGTTTTGGAACCTCCTATCCAGAGCCTGGTTTCATGAAGCTTCTGGAGCTGTAAGCCTCCTCTAACTAGCTTCCAGTCTGCTCATACCATATACTGTCCTATGTGGATGCCTCGTATACTGAGCCTCCTCCTGGGCATTCAGGTTCACTTATTTATGGACTTACCAAACAGTTAGGGCCTCCACTGGGGATACAGAGATGGTTTAGTCATTACCCCTGCCCTCAAGGAGCTCACAGTCTAGTGAGGGTGCCAGATAATGAAATGGACAATGACAGCCATAGACACGGACAGGTGCACTGTTAATCTGGGCAGGTTCGGGGGCGGGGGCAGGTAGAGCCTTTTCAGAGGTAGTGGTTCTCAAACTGAGTCTTAACTAGGCCAGGAGTCTGAAGGCTAGGTTTTTGGTTGAGAGAGTGGCACGTTTATGGGCCCTGAGGCTACAGTGGGGCAAGTTTGGGGAATCCCAAATCAGTCAGAATGGCTGGAATAAAGAATGGGAGGTGGGAGGAGGCAGAAATAAGGTTTAAATACTAACAGCCGGGTTGACCCTGATAGACCGTAGGCTTCGTGAGGGGCCTAAATGTTACTCTTCACTTAGCCTCATGCCAGCAAGGTGTCTGGTACAC